CAATCAGTCATAAAAGTCCTTGGATTAAAAACATTACAGAATTTTAAAATTTGAATGGATTTTAAAGATCACAGTAAAATCTCTTTGGTTTACAATTAGAAAACTGAGGGTTAAAAAGGTTTCGATTTCCCCAACATCACACAGTGGCAGAGTCAAGTTCAAGCACCCAAGTCCCTTGACTTCCAAACCAATGTTCTATTATACCACATGCTCTCTTCTCCATTCCCTGGTCAATTAACCTAGCTCTTAACACTTCTTCTCTGAGTTACTGAAACTATCTCCTAACTAGTCTCCTGGTCTTTAATCTGGTCCCACTCCAATTCATCCTATACTCAACCACCAAAAGACATTTTCATCACCAAGTCATTCTTCAGCTCAAAAACTTTCAGTGGCTTCCCACTACTTACAGGATGTAGAAAATAGCACTGCATTTGTTAAGTTAGCCTCAAGATACCTGACCCACTAGTGGGAAACATAATGATATTCATAAATACTTGTTGAATTGTACTGGAGAAAAAGACCTGAATAATTCACAATTTGGGATTATTGGTCCCAAAATAAGAGAGATTTGGATATTACACACAGAGACATACACATTAACAATGAGAAAAATAGGGGCAGCTAAGTGGCGCAGGAGGACCTAAGTTCAAATCCAGCCTCAGACACATAACATTTAACTAGCTTGTGTGACCCTGGGCAAGTCACTTAACCCCACTGCCTAGCCAAAAAAAATGAGAAAAACTAAAGCAGAAATAAGTAACTCCTATATCAGCCCCTAGCTACTTCTGAGAGAGACATCTTAATATAAGCCACAATCACAGCCAGGCTTTCTCTGACTTTCCAAGCAGCAAACAGATGTTAGGAGCACAATTTTTTTAAATTTATTTTGATTTATCAACAATCATATCCATAAGCTTTTGAGTTTTAAATTTTTCTCCCCCTCTCTTCCTACCTCCCTCCCCAAGACGGGACACAATCTAATATAGGCTATACATATACATTCTTATTAAACATATTTTCACATTAGTGATATTGTAAATAAGAATTAGAACTAATAGGAAGAACCACCAGAAAGAGGAAACAAAACACAACAGAAGAAAAAAAATAGCAAATAGTATGTTTCGATCTGTATTCAAACTCCACAGTTCTCTCTTTGGATGTGTATAGCATTTTCCATCATGAGACTTTTGGAGATGCCTTAGATCCTTGTATTGCTGAAAGGGGTTAAGTCTATCAAAGTCAGTCATCACTCAATGTCGCTGTTACTGTGTACAACATTCTCCTGGCTCTGCTCACTTCACTCAGCATCAAACCATACATGTCTTTCCAGGTTTATCTGAAATCTGCCTGTTCATCATTTCTTATAGCATAACAGTATTCCATTACATTCATATATCACATTCACAATTATGATAACTATCTATGTCTTTCTCTCCATCCTTTTCCCCCCCTGTTTATGCTTTTCTTTCTAGGAGCACAATTTCAACACACTTCAAGTTCAGAGCCATGACTGCAGCTGTCATACTGGCCAAGTATGGCACAGGAGTCCAAAATAAATAACAATGTTTTTATGTCCAAATAAAAGTTGTCACTAATTATTTTAAATATTGAAAAAGATTATTCAGAGAGTGAGAATTTCATTTCACCTATAGTAACTACTTTTAAAAACAGAACAACAGAGAGAAAATCATTATTCTTCAGGGGAAAAGGAGGCTTGATGGCAAAATGGAAAGAGCATGGGCTATGGAGTCACAGGATCTGGGTTCAAATCCTGACCCTGTCTCTTATCAGAGGACCCTGGACAAAACACTTGAACTTTTTCAAGCCTCACTTTCCTCATCAGTAAAATGTAGGGGATTGGATAGGATAACTTTTGAGGTCCCTTTCAGTCTGAAATCTAAGATCCCATTAGACTTTGAGAGTGTAAAAAGTTACCAACTGGTACGGTTCCTTATTTATATTCTGTAAAGAACAAAGCACAGAAGAGGCATTCAAATACTAAACAATAAAGAAGCCAGACCAAAAGTTCTAAAAAACAGGTTCTCTTACTGGCAAGTAAGTATTGACAAAAGGCCAGAGTCATCCAGTTTAACAATCCCTGTGAAATAAACTTGAAAATGTATTTCAGCTAGCTGTGTGATTCTGGGCAAGTCACTTAAAAGAATCCAAAAAATCATACATTGGAAAGTTCAAAGAAAGTACTCACATCTCACATAGAACGTATCTATGAGACGGGAAACGAGGTGGCACAGTAGATAGAGCTCTGACCTTGGAGTCAGGAGGACATGAGTTCAAATACAGCCTCGGATACATGACACTTACTAGCTGTGTGACTCTAGGCAAGTCACTTAACTCTGATTGCCTCATCAAAAAAAAAAAAGGGAAAAAAAGTATCTATGAGCCATTCAGTCCAGCCTATACAACATCTCCAATATATAGCATTCCCAAAAATCTGGCATCCGACATCCACACGAAGACCTCCAGTGTTTATCTCACAAGGCATCCACTTCCATTTTTAGAGAGTTCTGACTCCTAGGAAGTTTTCTTTATATTTAGCTATATTTGCCTCTCTCCAATTTCTATACACTACTTCTCTAGATCTGTCATCTGGGCCCAACCAAAACAAGCTTTCATTCTTATTCCACATAAGACCCCTGAAGTGGTTAAAGAAAGCTATTTTGTCTCCTTTGGAGAAAACTTTCTCCTCCCAACTAAATGTTCTTAATCCAATTAATCCCCAAGCAGCATTGCTGGTCTACAAGCACCTCATCATCCTGATCACCCTCCTCCAGTTTGTTAATATGCTCCCTAAAATATAGCCAATCAGAATAAAATGCAATAATCCAGACCAATTCTGACCAGGGTAAAATACAATGGAACTATTACTTTCTATGCTTCTACATATTATTACTTTCTATGTTTCTATATATTCTAACTCTGGTAATCAAATTTCTGACAATAAAATATGTGACTATGACACACGCTCTTGATTAATAGATGTCTTAGTGTACATTAATTACAAAGAAAACAAGCACTGGATTCATAGCCAGATTCTGACACTTACTAGCTATAAGATAAGTAAAACATTTTACCCTGATAATCTGCATTCTGTAAAACAGGAATAACACATTACCTACATCACAGAAATTTGAGGAAAACACCTTGTAAATTTTAAAGTGCTATATAAATATGAATTATCCTAATCTTTTATTCTCTTTCAATCTGATTATTGACTTCTTTATTGAAGACAAAGAATAAGTAATACGTCAGTAATGGCTTTTAAAATCAACACACTTACCTAACTCTTATTCCACACAGTTAACATTTATTCATCCAAAATCAGGGAAGTAGTGACATGGATAATCTGAAAATCACTTATTTATCAACTAGAGTGTATCTGTACATTTCATTTACCTATACGTTTGATATTCTGGGAATATTCAGTAACAGAAATAAAATGAAGAGTGGCTAGATAGGTGTCCAGCTTCTCTGTCTTTACTCGATACTTCCTTCATGCCCTCTCCCTGCAAAAGGGATGGGGCACACCATATCTCAGACTGATAAAAAGCACAACTTTCTTCTCTCTCTAAACATGCTGCCTTTGTGGTTTAAAGAGAATGAAAGGTGCAACTCTAATGGATTATTTTGGTTAAAAGACCTTCCCTTTCAGCTGTTGCTAGGCTGCAGACGGAACCACGGCAATTTAAGTAAATGTAGGTGTTGGTCCTTACATTTTTTTATTAAAGCACTAAATTATTAAAGTACTAAGTATTAAAATACTCAAATCAATTTCATTAAAGTATCAGTTATTTGATGTTTTGCATGGCTTCACATGTATAACTGATATCAAACTGTTTGCCTTCTCAATAGGTGGGAGAAGCTGGGGTAAGGGAGAGAATTTGGAACCCAAAATTTTTTAAAATGAATGTCAAAAATAAAATATAATTTATTAAATTTTATCTTAACATTAAATATAAAATTGTATTTAAATTTTAAAGCATTAATCTGTCATATTTTTGTAACTATGCTCTAATAAACTGTCATTGATAACAGTCCACAAAAATGTCCTGTTAAAATTAAAGTCTCCTTTTTCTCTTGATGCCTGGAAAATGTTAAAGGGGGAGGTGGGTGAGAAGTTAGCAGGACTCATTACAAAACAGTAGGAAACCATCAGGAATGATTACTAGAAAGACTGAAAATAGATTCTCAGTTCATTACTTACCTGTTCCAGTACATCCAGCTTTAATTCGAGCTTGCTGAGAACCACATCTCCTCCCCAGAGTGAGAGCTGTAGATCTGATGGCTTCAGGTTCTTGATGTAGCGATTCACATAACTCATTAAAATAGGAGTCACATAGGACTCCAGCATCGTGCAAGGCCCGGTGATGCTGCCGCTGTCAGAAGCTAAAGGGACAGAAGCAGAGGTAACGTAAGAGGGGGTCGATCCAGAAGCGCCGCGGGGGGCATCTGTAGAGGGGCGCTGCCGAGCAGCCCCCGGCCACCAGCTCCGACTCGCGTCTGGCCGCAGGACCTTGTCCGGGGAGGGGTCAGCCTGGGCTCGCTCGGCTCGGAAAGCGCGCTCCCCTCGCGGGCGGCCTCCGAGCCCGCCGGACACCCGGTCCCGGGCCCGCCTCTCTCCGCTCCCTGGCCGGCCTGAGGCACTGGTCACCTGGGCGGCTGGAGCCGGACGCAGCCGAAGCCGGACCTCAGAGCCGGAACAAGGCCCGCTCCCCGCTACCGCTCCCTCCCACCCATTCCCAGAGGCCCCGCCCCCGGCTGACACTCACACACTCGGGGCCACGCAGCATGAACTTGAACTCCGCCGCCTGGCACCTCACACTGGCCCCCAGCGGCGGCGGCAGCGGCGGTGGAGGCGGCAGTTTCCACCTTTCCACTCCTTTCACCCCCTACTTCCGGGCTTGCCCCAGGCGGTGCCTCACCATAAACCTTCCGCCCCCGCGCCGGCCCCCATCCTCTCACCCTCCCACGTCTGGCCTCACAGCTCCCTCTCGGCTTCCGTCCGGCGGCGCCTGAAAGCTCGAGCACGGGCGGCCCGACTCACCCTTCTCAGACCCTTTCCGGTGGCCTCGCCTCTGGGAAGGTGAAGGAGAACCTGAAGAAGGCTCCCAGGAGGGGAGACGGACGGGCTTTTGGAAGGCACCGCGGAGCCGGAAGTGGGGCCGCGAAGCCACGCTACGCTGTGTCTCTCCTGCAGACAGGCTCTGTGGCCGAGGGAGGGAGAGGGGGGAGGAGCTGGGAGCCAGAGTTGACACAGAAGGAGAGCGGGGGCCCTGGAGAACCGCTTGAGAGGCCACGAGGACTTTGAAACTGTGATTTGTTTCCCTGAGGGGCCAAAACGTTAAGGGTTAAAGTGTTTGGGATTGATATCTGGGGAAAGGAGCCAAGGCTTTCAAGCAGTATTATCTGAATGTCATCTTAGTAGGAATTGTTTCCTTCTTCGCATCTTTATACCCCTCATCTGGCACACAGTAGGCACTTAATGATTGATTATTTTTTTCAGTTCTCAAAGGGCACCACCTTGACGAAAGTATAGGATGCTGGTGGAAAGGGCCCCCAGAGTGCCTGAAGGAAGAAGCCCAGGAGGGCCCAGAGGAACAGTGAAAGTCCACAGCTGACTTGGAGGGAATCAGGGAATGTAAATAAAGTGACTTATAGTATTCGTTAGACTACAGGGATGTATGAAGATGTGCGACCATCATTCAAGGAAGACGAACCGGGTTCGAATCCAGGCTCTGCTGCTTAATACCTTTGTGACCTTAACCTGAGCAAAACCAGAACAAATTATGTAGTAAAAAAACAATGTGGTAAAGAAAGATTTCAGTGCTGTGCATCAATGACAGACCACTATTTCCAGACTACCAGAGAGGCATACTACCCACCTTCCAACAGGGGTGATGGACTCAGAATGAAGAAGTAGAAGGTCCATTTGGTGGCTTAGCCAGTATAGGAATTTGCTTTGCTTGACTATGCATATCTGTTGTAAGGATTTTCTTTTGCTTCAAATTCAGTGGAGGGGAAGGGCAGTTGAGAGAAAATAAATACTTGTTAATTGGGGGGAAAATGTTGAGATTAAGAAGTGGGGTGGTGGTGAAAACAAGTCACTTCATTTCTTTGGGCTTCGTTTTCCTCCTGTGTTAAATGAGAGGTTTGGACAAGTTGACCTTTAAAGGACCTTTCCATCTCTTGAGTATATGATCCTTTGAAGTCCTGTATGCACCAAGGAAGTAGACCAAATCAAACATATCTCCTAAGGTAGCAACAGGCATTGGACTCCGCCAGAAATTGTGTTGTGTACAACACTTTTTTTTAACTATGTGACCACCACACTTGTGAAAAGTAGGGATAATAGCTTATGAATGTATTGTGAAAATACTTAGCAATGCTGTTACAACATACTTTTCAAAGTGTATGAAGACTAACAAATGAAAAAAGCTGTAAGTTCTATGAAAGGCAGCAGGAATGCATTGGAAAGTGTCCTGAATCGGGAATCAAAGGAACTGGGTTCAAATCTTGAATGTGCCACTTATTGGGGAAGGTCACACAACCCCTCTGGATCTCAGTTTCCTCATCAGATAACCTCTGAGATCCTTCCCAGCTCTCAGTCAGTGATCTTTACTGGTATTCTGCTTCTGATGTTCTAAATATCTTGAACAACTAGAAGAGATGAAAAAGTTTCTAAGTGAGAATGCAAAAAAAAATAGATTTCTGTTGCTGGAGAAAAGTACAAAGCCAAGATGAAGAATGGTAGTATTTATTAGTGCAATTCAGACACCTCCCACCTCCCTCAGACAAAGTGCCTGCAAAACTCAATAATCTTAAGTATCTGTTTTCAGCTTTCCTGTAGCTGTAGAGACCAGATATTGATAATGTCACTGAAATGTTTTAAATGTTATAGAGAAAGTGGCTTTACTAAAATGTGGAAGGACTATGTCATCCAAAACAGAAGCCTAGGGGTGTTAAGAAAGGTCCATTACTTTGCTCATGTGACAGTCTAATAGATGGAAACCAGTGTATTAGGATAAATTAGCTAGCCATTTAAAATAAATAGGAGTAGACACATGACTAAGGTGTATAAACAGAACAACATGTGGTGTACTGACCACGTTTTGTTCCACAAAGCCATTTTCTTTTCAGAGCCAGCAAGACCTTGCCAAATACCTTGCTTTGGGAAAATTTCTGTTCACACTGCTCTGAAGGGGAAAAAAAAAAGGATCATAAATCAGTGGTTTTCAACCTGTGTTCCATGACACCCTGGGGGTTCTACAAGCAGTGACCAAAGGTTACATGGAAAAAAGTGGTAATGGCAGGTTTTACTTTTTGAACACCTCTAATTCCTTTGGCTATGTATATTTCATTGAACATATTTTTTAAATCACCTCGAAAATGTTGAATGTACAACCTTGCCCAAATTTCCCATTTTATATATTTTTCAAATTGTATGGGTTTTTTCCCTCAACACTGTTAATTTTTTTAATATCCTAAATGGCCATTTGGGATATATAGATTACATGAGTAAAGGTTCAACAGAGTTAGGTGGAGGTTTGAAAGGTTTGGCTGGCTTTTAAAAAGATTAAAAACTAGACTGCTCTTTATAAGAGACTTGTTAGCTAAATAAATGTCAGAATATACTTAGAACTACGGAAAGCTACCATTGGTTATGGTGTGTAATTTTCTCCCTTATACCTGTACATATCTTTCTTTTAAATGCATAGTTTTATCTGATTTAGGGTATCAACTCTCTTAACACTTATTCAATCTGCATTTTTTTTTTTTGGAGATGTAATCAGGGTTAAGTGACTTGCCCAGTGTAACACAGTAAGTGTCAGATGACTGAAGCTGTACTTGAACTCAAGTCCTCCTGACTCCAGGGCTGGTGTTCTATGTATTGTATCACTTCACTGCCCCTTCAGTCTGCATATTTAAATGCTCATTGTTTGATCTAGACTTATATGTGTCAACAAATTTTCTGTAACTTATTTTCTTAAAGAGTTACTTAGCTCATGTAAGAGGTTAACTGATTTACCAGCCATATTCACAACCATTATGTATCAGAAGCAGGATCCTGACTTCAAGGCCAGCTGTATATTCAATATGCCATACTTCCTCTCTTAGACTAAATGTTTGAAATGAATTTGAAATAAAATATAACACTGGATTTCATTTTGCTATTTTTTAGTGTTATCTAAATCTTTTTGGATTGCTAAGAGAATGGAAGATGCTGCTAATGGATCATAAAAAAAAAAAAATTTAAGTACACTTGAAGGCGGTTCTTGCAACCAGACTCTCAAAAATCTGGACTGCTCCAGCTTTAACTAGCCCATTCTAATTCTATCAGACTGGTATATCCTGGTCCTATGTATGACATGCTATTGGCATTAATGATCATTTCCCCTTCCATTCCTATGACATTCATGTAATCTCTTGAACAGCTAGGATAATTAGCTGCCAAATTATATGAATCTAAAAATGAATGCAATTCATCCATTGCCTCCTCAATTGATCTTTACTTAAAAAAAAAAGGCAAGTAGCAGTTGTCTTTTGGAGTGCCTGCTCTAACAAAATCATAACATTGTGGGTCAGTAGGTCATTCTGCTTGCACCCTTCATCTACCTTTTTATAGATGTTCTGTTGGGAATTTACCTGAACCTCTCTCCCATATCCATCCTCATATTTGTCTACTACTTTCCTTGACTTTAAACCTCTAGGTCTGTGATTATGTGAGTAATGTGTTTGTAACAGTGTTGACCTAGCCTGGCTAGGTTGAATCCCTGTGCTTTCAACTTCCACAAATTATTTTTAACTTGAACTCCTTTCCCCTTCTGGGAGCTCTATCTTCAGTCTTATCTAGCTAACAGCTGGTACAAATCCACAACCATCCATGAAGCACCTGCCAACGTCTCAGCTGCCCCCCAGTGGCCGTTTTCTGCTCAATGCCACCTGTGCCACACATTAACTCTTTCTGTCCTGGAAACAGCTTATCAGAAAGAATGGGTTGCTCAGATGACCCACATAATTATGAGATGTGGAGAAATGAACTATCTCCCTGCGTAAGTAGTGAAAGAAATTACCACTCTGTGGTTCTAAGTTGAACATTTGGTAAAGGAGACTAGTTCTGCCCACAGTGATGTTGATGCAGGAGGGCAGAGTTGCTAACTAGTTTGCCACCAACACTGTCTTGGATAAAGAAGGTTTGAGAAACATACCATCATTTCAATAATGCCTAATGACATTTCCTTTGACTTTGTGCTGAAAAACCTTCTCCCAACCCTCATAACCAGCTTTGGAATGTGTCTTCCCCAACTCCTTAACTCTGTATAGTTATTACCCTGTGAAGTTTGGGTTGACCAAGAACAGCATTCCGTCTTCTCAGGTAATAGCTTGGACCATATTGTTCTTCCCCAGTGGAATTTTCTCTTTTAGGCCCTCTTAATTGTTCTCTTGGGGTGGTGGTTTGGTAAATAGAGTGCTGGGCCTGGAATCAGAAAGACTCCAAGAGTTCAAAGAGTTCAAATCTGGCCTCAGACACTTGCTAGCTGTGTGACTCTGGGCACGTCACTTAACCCTGTTTGTCTCAGTTCCTCGGCCATAAAAAGGGCTAGAAAAGGAAATGGCAAAACCACTCCAGTGTCTTTGGCAAGAAAACCCTAAAGATAGACACAACTGAAACAACTGAACAGCAGTGTCCCCTAATTAACAGCACGTGTCTGCTCTAGCCTCATAGGAGGAAGAATATAAGAATAGGATCCTTCATTACTTAGTTGACAACCAGCAACTTTGAACCCAGGCCTCTCTGACCACCGGAAACCTCATGGGAGCTCTAGTTTCAGTTCCTTATATGATGCTTTTTCATTTCACCCTCTGCTCACTCCTTCCTCTTCCCCAACTTCCAACATTAAGGTGAAAGTTTAAGGTGGTCACAAAAGCCTTGCCAAGTTTCTTCCATGATCGGCGTTATTCCTAGAACTAGTACATAGACTTCTTGATAGTCTACCCATGAACACACAATTCTCATCTAGCGAAAGGAGACTTAAAAGGCAAAGAGCTGTATATGAAAGATGATTGCTACAACCCGTGAATAGTAATTACTCTTCAGGCTGTACAAAAGAGGCAAGAAGATGTTCCCTTACCCTTTCTGATCATTGTTTAGGTTGGCAATCAGAGATTGAACTCCTCGGGGTGTAAAGTAGGTAGTAGGAGTGACTGAGCTGATGCGGAAATTAGTGGTAAGTGCAAGAGGTAGAGAAAGAAGGGTGGTAGTCAATGCAAGTCCCTAAGGGTAGGTTTAAGAATCGGGGGGAGGCACAAGGGATGACTAATCTGAGATGAGTAAAAATGGAGAAGTGGGGCTGGGGAAGGGTTCAGGCATTGGAGCTCTAATATCTTGGGATAGAACCTTGATTCATAGGTGGTAGAGAGAGTAGGCAATGGGACAATAAAGCGGTTGGCATTCCCAGTTGGTGCTGTGAGCTGAGAGTTTCAGTGACTCCCCTTACAGCAACTTTAGTATTTTGAGAGTAAATACTGTTATATCTGAATGGTACAATTCTATATCCCGGTAAGGGCAGCTAGGTGGTACAGTGGATAGAGTGCCAGGCCTGGAGTCAGGAAGACTCATCTTCCTAAGTTCAAATTCAGTCTCAGACACTAGCTGTGTGAGCCTGGGCAAGTCACTTAACCCTGTTTGCCTCAGTTTCCACATCTTTAAAATGGAAAAGGAAATGACAAACTACCCCAGCATCTCTGCCAAGAAAACCCTAAATAAGGTCATGAAGAGTCAGACATAACCGAAACAACTGAACGACAACAAAAATACCCAGTAGTCTCTGCATGGAAAGTGCTCAAAGGAAATACAAGTGGACCTGGAGATTAGAGAGTGATTCGAGATAAGCTTAAATGGGAGAGGATCTATCTATGAGCTCTAAAGGGCCTTTGAATCTCCCCAGAGAAAAGAGTCTGCTAAATGACAGATACAAAGGTTTCAGCAGAGATAGTAATGCCAGTTTGTTCTATCTGGTATGTAATTGTCATGATGTTTTGTGTAACATTGGCCTATAATTAGTTGATGGTGATGCTTGCATAATACTGGTGTGTAATTGATGTGATGTTAACTCACATGTAAGTGTTTGCTGTTTGCTGTATGATGTTTGCTGTAATAGTCTGGTATTGGCACGTAATTGGCATGATATTTCTGTGATATTAGTAATGTTTACTATTGGTGTGGTGTTTGTGTGGTATTGTCATGTAATTGGCATGAGGTTTCTGTGATACTGGTGGTGTTTTGTATTGGTGTGATGTTTGCATGGTATTAGCATGTAATTGTGTGATTTTTTTAAAAATATATAATTGCCATGTGATTGTGTGGCATTTTTGTGACTTTGGCATATAATTGGTGGGTGTTGGTATGGTGTCTAATGTGGTGTTGTCATGATATTGGCACGTGATTGAGTGATATCAGCCTGTAATCAATAATTTCACGATATTGCTATGGCAATTTAGTGATAATGGCATTGGTGGGACATTGATGTGTAATTGGCATAAGGTTTTGTAATATTGGTATGTAGTTTGCATGATATTGGTGTGACATTGGTGAGTGATTGGCGTGGTGTTGGCATGGCAGTAGTGTGATGTTTTGTTTATGTTGCCATGGTGTTTGTTATTAGCATGACTTTATGTAAATGGGATAATTTGTGTGACATCATTATGCAATTAACGTAATGTTTTCATGATATCATTTAATATTGGCATGACATTGGCCTGATGTTTGTATGACAGGTAATTGGGCAACATTGGTGTGATGTCTAATATTGGGGTAGCATTGGCATATAATTGGTGTGATGTTTGCATCATATTGAAGTATAATTGTTTGCATGATATTTGTAATTGGTGTGAGGTTTGTGTGACATTGGTGTATAATTGATATGCTATTTCCCTGATATTGGCATGATGTTTACTATTGGCTTGATACTGGCATATAATTGGTGTGATATTTTGTGATATTGGTGTGACAATGGTGTGATTTTCCATGACATTGGCATGATATCAGTAAGGCAATGGCATGACATGGGCTGCTCATGGTATGATGTTTCTATGATATTGGTATGACAGTGACATGATATTGGCATGCTCATGGCATGCTATTTCCATTGCATTGGTGTGATATTGGTGGAACAATGGTGTGTTATGTGACAATTACATGACATTATCCAGAAAGCAATAAAAAGCCACAGAAGGATATTTGGGGGGGGGGGTTAGGCAATGGGGTTAAGTGACTTGCCCCGGGTCACACAGCTAGTAAATATTATGTGTCTGAGGCCAGATTTGAATTCAAGTCCTCCTGAATCCAGGGCCGGTGCTCTATCCACTGCACCACCTAGCTGCCCCAGCAGTGAAGGATTTTGAGTAGAGTTCATAACCATTTGTTAGGTAGTGGTGTGGAGGATGGACTGAAGGACCTTGGGGTCACACTCTGTGAGGATCAGTTAAAGGACCTGGGGGTGTTTGATCTAGAGGAAGAAAACTCTAGGGCAGCTAGATGATGCAATGAATAGAAGACTTATCTTCGTAAGTATAAATCCAGCCTCAGATACTTACTAGTTCTGTGATCCTGGGCAAGTCACTTAGTTCTGTTTGCCTCAGTTCCTTATCCATAAAATGAGCTGGAGAAGGAAATGGCAAACTGCTCCTGTATCTTTGCCCAGAAATCCCTAAATAGCGTCAATGAGGAGTCGGACACAACTGAGAGGACCAAGCAACAACTTGAGACTCTCTTCTGCCAAAAAAAAAAGGAATTAGATTTTTTCTTTTGCACTCCAAGAATTAGAAGTAATGGGTTGAAATTTCAAAAAGGCAAATTGAGGCTTGAGATCACAAAAAGCAGACTAATAGTTTGAGTTATCCCAAAGTGGGATGAGCTGCTTTGAGAGGTAATATGCTTTACCTCACTGGAGGTCTTTAAAAAAAAAATTCTACATTATCCTCTATTGAATATGTTGTCCAGGATTTTTTTGTTGAGATGCCCACTAAGCTTCCTTGAAATTCTGTGATTCTTCAATGCCGAATAAGTTAAGTGGATCCAGAAACACCTAGATCCTGCCCCAAAAATGGCTCAGTAGTTCCAGTACCAAAATACTTAAAATAAATAGTTTTATCCACAGGGCCTT